TACTCTTTGAAACAATATACCTATGACGCGCGAGGGAATGTACATGCTGGGATAAATCTATTAGTTGGGTTCATTCTTAATATTTGTAAATTACGACAATTTAGAGAGAGAGAATGAGAGAGAGATAACTGCAGATACACCAACTTAATTAGAATAAACCGAATAAACCGTGCGTTAGTAGTATAATTCATATATATTATTCCTCCGGTCCTTAATATAAGACTCATTTAACTAATTTGATTATATTAAGGAAGTTAGATAAGTTAGTTAATTATAAAAAATATAACACGTTTTTTCTAAAATACCATAATTATCTTTCTTAATACCACATCTCCCTTTCCTACTTGAGTATGGTTGAGAGAGTATTTATAGAGGTAATTTAAAGAAAATTAATAAATATGAGAAATGGGTTTTATATTTAGGACTAAAATCAACTCAACAATTAGGTCTTATATTAAAGATCGGAGTAATACTGTCTCTTTTCAAAATTGGCACTTGTTATACTTTTCATGTAATTATGGACTTTATAGTTGTGATTATAGCCGAGTTGCCCTTTTTTTTTTTGTTCAGTTTATTTTAGAAAAGAAGTATTTTTTATTTACTAGGGCTGAGGCCCCGCCCAAATAACGTGGATATATATATATATATACTCCTCCGGTCCTAATTATAAGACCCAATTGACTTATTTGAGGAGATTAAGGAAGTAAGTTAAGTTGGTTATTTATAATAAATAAGTGTTGTCATTCCTAAAATATCCTTGCTAATTAAGTATATTGGCTAAAACTATCATTATCAGAAGGATTATCTTGGAAAAAAATGCATAAATATAATAGACAAAATGGATTGGGTCTTATAATTAGGACCAAATAAAAAGTCAAATTGGGTCTTATAATAAGGACCGGAGAAGTATATATATAAAGAAGGTGCATAAAGGAGAGGTAATTAATTAAGGCATTAAGTGGAGGAATAATTAAGAAATGGCGACTTGGGGTATGGCATTATTGCAGGTGAATTGCCCCAGTAATTCTCAGAGAAAGCCAGCTAATGCTTTCCCTAACAGTCCTAATCAACCCAAAGCTCCACTCTCCTCTGTGTTTCAAGTAACTGATCTATATCTACATTTATGGCCTGCCGCATGTGTCCTTTTCTTCTTCACCAGCTACATATTTGCAATGTGAAGGCAGGAAATGGATTTGGCTGTACTTTGCTGAGGGTCTACATCCGCACATTTGATTGTCATGAAATAATATTGTTATAACATGTATACATCATCAACATATAGTTGTACAAAATACCACCTCTGGTTCTTAATATAGGATATCGTTTGACTTTTATTTTAGTCTTAAATATAAGATCCTAATCCACTTTGTCTCTAATATTTATACATTTTTTTCAAGATATTCCTTTTAACAATACTAGTTCTAACCAATATACTTGATTACCAAAGATATTTTAGGAAAGACAACACTTATTTAGTCAACTAGCTCTTTTAATTAGGATTGGAGGTAGTATATCATTATCCACAGATATCACTCTCTTATAAGTGAGGGAAGAGGGAGTATTTATATTATTTATCTCTTTAGTTGCAAGGATATATATAAAAATTTTACTATTTATAATTACATACATCCCTCTTGTGAATTGGTCTTTTTAGTGGTCCAAACAATACGAATAAATAAGAAAGTTCGTCTTGCTTAAAACTTCATTTGAGTGTATATAGATTTTTTCAAAGATTTTTCTCCTTAAGTGATGGAATTTAAAATCAGTTTTTTTTTTTTTACTTCCTTTTTTAATCCAGCGAGAACACCTATTGTATTGTTAAAACTGTTAAAGGTTTTTTTTAAAATAAAAAATAACAGAAGTTGAGTCACTGAGACGGGTTTTGGGTATTAAAAGCTGGGCCTTAAGCCCAAAAAGAATAACAAAAAGGTCCCGAGAAGAGATCTCCTCTGGTTTGAGCTGATAAACAAGCCCCGAAGGTGATGAAAGTGGATAAGACTGTAATTCGGCCGAGTCATCTCCACATCTCATAATTTGCGGTTGATGTCCTTCTTTCTTAGCCTCTAGTCACCCTCCCCAAAAAAGGGCAAAAAAACCTTCACTGCCTATTTAGGAGATGTTTGGCAACCCCTAAAAGTACTTCTCAGAAGTATTTTTTCGTAAAACGAGGTAAACTTCTCTATATATTTACTTCATAAACCGTAAAAATACTTTTAAAACCATAATTTGGTTTCCATCCAGACACTCCCTTAATCTCATTATTGAGTTATAGGAGGAATCGAACTCTACTCAAATTTAATTTTTATGGATTATTTCAACTCACGTGCCCTTTTCTCTGCGGGAAAGGGAAAAAAAAAACGCCGTGCAATTTTTACTTTTAGATAATTTGTTTTGAAATATTTGCTTCTTATTCTTCTTGCCACCATTGAGATACTTGCTTCACACAATAATAAGGATCAATTCGTTGTACGAAATAATTTTTCCGGCCAGTTGAAATGATTTTTTTGGTGACTTTTGTGATATTGAAATTTCGAGCATCTCCTTAATCCGACGTCTTCCTTCAAGAAACGGACTGCAATAAAGCCGAAGGCATAAACCAGCATACATTTTACCAAAAAAAAAAAAACCTCCATTGGCGATGACCGTCTCGTGATGAACGTTTAAATCACATTAATCCCTTCTACAAAAAGTCATTTCTTGTTGCACCTCGCACCTCAGGTTGTGTTCTTTCTTTGTTTTTTTTTTTTTCTGTTTTCCTTTTTTTTGGGTCCTTCATTCCCCTGCTCTCTCCCTCCATCCTTGTCACCCCCATCTTTGCTAAGAATAGACCCTGCTCAGGCTTGGATCCCGTTTTCGAAGCTGACTTCAAAGCCCTGATAGACTAGATAGGGATAGCGGCATTTTGTACTAACCCTGTAACCTATAGCATCATTAGTTCAGGTAGCGGCAGATTCTTTAGCACGACGACCACGCGGAATCTTCCAATGGATATGAACACAGATACTTTGTGAGTGGCCGCGTACCTCAGCCTAGAACCTGTTTAGAGTTTAAAATAGTTTATAAATAATTTTTTAATCATAATTTACAGAATAAAAAATAAATATATGAAAAAAATTTTTGTCTCTGTTCATATAAAAAATGTTTATAAGTAATTTTATTTATGATGGCAAAAAAAAGCTTAACCGTAGAGCAGATGACAGAAGTATGTGAGTATAACAAAGAGATGAGACAAACGATGCTATTTCAACAAGTGTTGATGATGACAGGGACTACCCCTCATTGAAAGGAACCTTGAAACTAAGTAGCTATTGTTTAATAGGGAAATCGCTGGGCCTCGTTTATTTCACTCAAGTCGTACCAGTCAAACATCCATTGTTAACGCCATTTGTCTTGACCCATACGAAGGATCAACTTGACTTGTTGACTGCATAAACCAACAAACAGATCAAGCTTCCTCGGTGGGACTAACCTAGTAATTGGGGGGGGGGGAATTCCAACCTTTTGAAATTGTCTCGATTAGCTGGCTACCCAGAACTCAATAGATACAGGGGGCAACAATTCTAGAGACAGTCAGTGATGTTGCAGGATCGTCTCCAGGAGATGTATGAAAACTTGTGTGGCCATTCATTTATTAACTGTTTGCTGCTATTCTTTATGTTTTCTACTTTCCTTCCGAATGCTCAAGCTGGAGACCCCGAACGGATCCATTTGAGCACAGAGATGACACTAGTGATGCTCTCCATTATGTTTACGATAATACTTGGGCTGATTGCTTATATAAAATTCTGTGGAACCAGTTCTTCTGAGCTTCTGAACCAAAGCGTCCATCCCCAGAGCTTGGCTCGATCGGAGCAGTCCAGATTTTATGGGATCGACAAGCAAGTAATCGAAGCACTTCCTGTGTTCGAGTTTTCTTTCCTCAAGGGATCAAAAGAAGGCCTCGAATGCGTGGTTTGCCTGTCGAGATTTGAAAACAGGGAAACACTTAGGTTGCTCCCAAAGTGCAAGCATGCTTTCCACATGAATTGCATAGACATGTGGCTTGAAGGTCACTCTACCTGCCCGCTCTGTAGATGCAGGGTAGATCCAGGGGATGTCAAGGGCTTCACTTCTTCAATCAGCTCAAGGTTCCTGAGTGTCCCTTCCAATTTAACAGAGGAACCAAATCTCGAAATCCTTGTGCAGAGGGAGCAATCCCGTCAAGAGTCATTGAGAATCAACTATGGGAGAGGCTTATGGAATGTGGAGGAGGGCAGGAAGGAAGAAGAACTACTCATTGATAATGGTGGAAATCGGGAAATTCTGCACAAGTTCCATCATAGGATAGTTATCTCAGGTTTTGTTATGAGGAGTAGGTGGAGTGATCTTACTGCGACGGATTTGCTACTCTTAAACTCGGAAATGCTCAGTGTTATGTCGAACAGAAGATTCCTTGCTTCAGAATCCGCCAACGGTGAATCCTCACGATGGGATTCAAACCTTTCAGGTACTTCCAACGAGGAACAACACACGTACCAGCCACTGAATTGGGGTCGTAAAAGATCATTGTCTGAGATTACAATTGTTCCGAGGTTGAAGGAAATCAACAGGATGAAAAAATTAGCAGCATCGGGCGACAACAATGGGGGTGAAGAGAGATCATGGAGGATATGGTGGCCGATCGCGAGGCGAACCGTGCTAGGGTTTGCCAGACGAGAAAGAAGTTCCACGGAGTTAGAATCGAAACAATTAGGTTCAAGTGTGTAATCACGGCAGTTGACTAGAGCACTGTACAATGTTAATGCTTTTGCTGGTGAAATTAAATTACAAATAAAAACAATTTCTGAGAAGGAACCTCACCTCTATAAGATCGTGTGCAAATTGATCCACAGAGAGAAAGCCTGGGGACAGGGAGAACGACGGGGGATGGACAGAAACGATGCGTTTTGAAAGAGATTTGAGTGGCGTAGGCGTTTTAATAGCCAAGGAAATTGAGCAAGGGCATGTTTTTCCCGCAATGGCAAGCAAACTGCTGCAAGCAAGCAGCTTAAAAAGGTATTGATTGAATATCATTTACATTCTTTGAATGCTACACCATTATTGCATATCTGATATTTGAACTTGATGAAATTCGCATTAGCTCACTCTGAATTCCGTTGCCTTGGGGGCATTTCCTGCGCAAACACATGCACAAACCGATTAAATAATCCATTCATTGGCGCTCTGCTACCCCAATTATAGCCATTTCTCACCGTTGGGCACCTTCAATTTCTTCATTACCAACAACCGTCATCCAACCACTCTGATGATGAACGATAACGCCTCATTTAATTTACCAAGAGACGCTTCTTCTCTGATTAACTCGTTATTCTCCTGACGCTGCACTTGGCACTCCATGTTTCCTTTCTTAACTATGCTTCAGCTGTAGCTAAGCTAACCCACGAGAACCTTTTATTGCACTTTACTCCATCCTTTGTCCTTTCTTTAAACCCGTCATTTGGACTGAAAGTGAAACAGAAAGATACAATGGGAGATCATAAGTTATTGCAGAATTCAATAAGCGTCTTAATAGGAGGTTCCACTCGTAGATGGTCCGGCTCCGCCTTTGTGGTAATGATCAGAACCACCGCATTGACATTTTGGGATTCCATTTAACACTGGCAGGCCAACCCAACTGGGTAGAAGACAGCAGCAGAGGCCACTCGTTCCCAAAATTAAACAAAAGGCATTAAATTTAAAGCATTGCATGGTCCCTGAACCTTCGTCTTTATTATAGGTAGAGGGGTCCTAAATCCTAATCATTCAGAATCGAGCACGCATAATCCCTGACATTGCTACTAGTGTGGAAACAAGTTCGCTCGTCCAAGGCTCCATGCAATTTGCCGACGCGGTTGATAAACATTCACACCTTAAATAAATAGAGCGCTCATCGTTCCCTCAGATTGGTCTTATATTTGTAATTGTAGCCCTACCTCGTCAAATCTAAACCCCTTTTGTCTTACTCCATCCCTTTGTTGATCTCATGCCATGGATTTCTATGGACAAGGATCTCTCCATAGCTTGATGGACAAGGAAAATATGGAACATCAACCTCAATTTCACCTTAGCGTCCGAACCCATAAAGAGATAAGCAAACATGATGTTCAATTAGCCTCACCGAGGCCTTCTACCTCTGACGCCACAGTGTTCCCAATGATGCCATCCCCTGGCCCTGAATCACCATGGACGCGTTCCCCACGCCCAGTTTCTCCTCCTCCTTCTCTTCTTTACTACTGCATCGCTTCGCTCCATCGCCACGACGGCAATATCTACGCCATCGCAGCTACGAAGGGCTTAGTCTTTACTGGCTCTGACAGCAACAGAATCCGCGTGTGGAAGCAGCCCGACTGCATGGACAGAGGATACCTCAAAGCTAGCTCAGGCGAAGTGCGATCCATTTTGGCTTACAGTGACATGCTCTTCTCGACCCATAAAGATCACAAGATTCGAATTTGGAACTTCATGGTTTCCGACACTTTCAAATCCAAAAAGGTAGCCACTCTTCCCAGAAAAAGCTCGTTTCTTTCGTTCTCCAGAGCAAGCAGCGCCCATCAACATAAAGACTCTGTTTCTTGCATGGCTTATTACCATTCAGAAGGGCTCTTATACACTGGTTCTCATGACAGAACAGTGAAGGCTTGGCGGGTTTCAGATAGAAAATGCGTAGATTCATTTGTGGCACACGAAGATGATGTGAATTCACTGATGGTGAACCAAGACGATGGGTGTCTTTTCAGTTGCTCCTCTGATGGATCCGTGAAAATATGGAGGAGGGTGTACACAGAAGACTCGCACACCCTCACAATGACTCTTAAATTCCAGCCTTCCCCTGTGAATACAATGGCATTGAGCACGTCCTTTAACCATTGCTTTCTCTACTCGGGGTCATCAGATGGGATGATTAATTTCTGGAAGAAAGAGAGACTGTGTTACAGATTCAACCATGGCGGGTTTTTGCAGGGTCACCGTTTTGCAGTTCTTTGCCTAGCGACGGTGGGGAACTTGATATTCAGTGGATCGGAGGACACGACGATAAGGGTATGGAGGAGAGAAGAAGGGAGCTGTTACCATGAGTGTTTATCAGTGTTAGATGGACACAGAGGGCCAGTGAGATGTTTAGCAGCTTGCCTTGAGATAGAGAAGGTGGTGATGGGGTTTCTGGTGTACAGCGCCAGTCTGGACCAAACATTCAAAGTGTGGAGGGTGAAGATTTTGCCTGACGAAAATCTGTGCGTAGAGTGCACTGATCAGCGCGACGGCGGGAAGAGGATTACAGAGTACGATATGAGTCCTGTTTTGTCGCCATCGTGGGTTGAGAAGAAACTTCGAGATACCTATTTTCAGTGAGATTCCGGAAATCACTCCTCCGCTGATCCGCTAGGGCCGCCCCTTCGACCCCTCACAGTCACAGGCGTTCGTGTACCATTCGGTACTGTGAAATCTGGATTTAATCAAGTGCCAGTTCTCTTCATTTCTTAATTCTGAATTAGCCAAATGCTTCAGGAACTGGGCAAGCAAATTAACAGTCATCATTACGGTATGATAGTTTTGTTATACTGTAACATAGTTTCTTTTTCACTTTATTTATAGTTTATGGTTTAAGAAAACATAAAATATAAAATTAATTGCCCACAGTTTTGTTGAAATCAAAGTATATAACAATTCAATGTGCTTTTTTTAAAAAAAAATAAAATAATTGCATGACTTGAATTTTTTTCCTAACCGGGAACCCTCCCAGTGAATTTTTTTCCTCTAGTTAAATGCAGGAAGGTTATTAGAATTACAACCCTCCCAATATGGAAAAAGATACTACGTGACCTGTAATTAATCTTAAATAATGGGAAAAGCACATAAAGCCATCATCTCAACTTAACAGAAGCATTTAGAGGATTACATTACACTGGTCTCCACCACCGACAACACCACACATGAAATTACATGGGCTGAGATGAATAACACGGTTTGATTAGTTATACAGTAGGAGAGATGGGGAGAGGTAGATAAGGCAGAAATAGTGGTAGCTAGCTAGTGGCTAGCGATTTTCCTCATCATGAGGAAGCAGGGCACGGGATCGGTCGATGAAGAAGGTCTCATAGATGAAGCCAGCAAGGCCACCCCCAATGAGTGGGCCGACCCAGTAAACCCAGTGATCGGTCCAATTCCCACTGACCAAAGCAGGCCCAAACGATCTTGCTGGGTTCATCGAAGCAGCGGAGAAGGCCCCTCCAGCCAGGATGTTAGCCCCCACGACAAACCCGACCAGGGTGGGCCCAAGCCCACCAATGGCTCCCTTCTTTGGATCCACCATAGTGCCGTACACGGAGAACAGCAACGAAAACGTCAGGATGATCTCCCATATCACTCCCTGAGCGTACCCCACTCCACTTGCAAGCGTGTGCACTGGAGTTGTCTGCACAATTATGAGTTCACTTGCCAATCAGAATTTGGATTAAATGATTAAGCAGATTAAGCTAAATTCATGTCTTCGCGGACAAACTAATCATTACCAGTCCGCCGGAGAGGTAGTAAAGCAGGTAACAAGCGAGGGAGGATGCCAGTAATTGGTCGATCCAATAAAGTATGGAGCGGAAGAGGGTGATGTGACCGCCCACCAGGAGGCCGAGCGTTACGGCTGGGTTAAGGTGGCCCCCGGAAATGTGGCCGGCCGATATCATGGTAGCCACCACAAGCGCATGTGCCACGGCCACGGCAAACAACCCTACCAGTGCGTCTGCTCCTAGCTTTTCTGGATGGATGATCGAAAAAAGGAATGAATAAACTGTGTGTGTGTGTGTAGAGTTAGTGTGCGTGAAACTAACTAGTTATGAAAGTAAGAGGGTACCTACGGCCATGGCGGAACCAACACCGGCGAAGACGAACAGGAAGGTGGTAACAAATTCAACGACGAGAGCCTGAAGGCAGTCGGGCTGGGTAGCCTCCCGGGAGGATCCGAGAGCGATCTTGGCCATGGCTGAATGGATGAGGCCTTAGCAAGCTACTAGTTACTAGATAAACAATGGTGGGTTTGGTGTATTACATGCCAGCAGGCTTCCCGTTATATATTATGCAAAACCAGAGTACAAAACATCAAATAATTGCGTCTTACACTTTTCTATTACCAAATTTCCAATCCCACTCACATGCCCCTGCTTTCTCTCCTTCGCTCCATAATTAGCCTCCACTATATTATTTATACCTTTAAATTGTAATTAAGTCACATTTTTGCACTACTCGAGCACATATCTTATCTTATTCAATTAGAAACAGGGAAACTATGAATATATACAAGGAATCAGCCGTCGGATACTCTCACGAATTGAGATCATCAAACCCTCATTATTCTATTTTGTCCCAAACATCATGGATGTATAGCGTCCTACTTTACACTAGACGCGCACCAACATGACATGTCACGTCGTCTGCCAGCTTCTTGTGCATCATAATTAATTTCGCAATCAAATAAAATCACAGCTTATTAAACATATAAACCCGTACTTTAGGAGCGAATTTCACTTTAAAAAGAAAGGAGAGAAATTTATGATTTAGTTATTTTTGGAATAGATCAATTAATATTTGAAATAACGTCATATAATATAATTAATTTATTCCAAAGAACAAGTTGAGGATCCTATAACAAGTTGACCTTTGAAAATGAAAGGAAGATGGGACTGGAGAGGGTAGGTTTTCGTTGTCTTTGTGCTAGAATAATTATTATGTTGTTTTGGACTAAGAAAAAAGTTTTGTTATCGCCGTGTCTGTACAGGCTCATGGTATGTTCATAGCTTTGTCACTTACCTTCACATGATGACGATGGTGCCACCCACTTGTTCCTGCTCTTCCATATTCACCATTCAATCGAGGATATTAACACATAACCTCCTGTTGAACAAATGGACAAATCATGATATAGAAATAAGCCATCCGAAACCCAAAAACATTCCATTCGCAAAATGAACACATTTTACAATTAAAGCCACAAACTTCAACAAATTATTCAACCTGAGTGGCTCATCTCCTAATCCCCAGCCTAGTACTTATTTATTTGATACTTATACATGCTGGTTTCTTGTAATTAATTATGAGCAGTACTTGAATAGTTTTATGGTTCTCTGACCGCTTAAGTACAGCTAATAAGCCAAGTCCATGTGCCAACGCTGAAATTGTTTGTTGCCCTCCGGAGTTCTGTCAAGTTATTAAGAGCCTTATTAGGAAGCTTCGGGCTTATGAATATATAGACGATTCCCGTTGCCTTAAGAAGCAAATCCGATTCGATCATGTCATAAAATATGAGGAATTATTGAACCTCAGTTAGACGCTATAGAGCAACGTGGGTGACAGCAGATTGTACCCAATTATATTTTCACCGACGCCTCATTTCGCTGGGAAATTTTCAACTCAGACTTTATCGGAAACTTGTCATGTACTGATTCTGGACTACTATTTGTGCGAACGGATCACATATTAATCAGCATACGTTAGGAAGATAAAGAAAAGTTAATGGCGAAAGGATTGAAGTTTTCCTCTGGTTTTTAATTTTTTAAGACGAATTGAACACGTGGGAGAAAAATACTTGTGAGTCTCACATATTTCTTCCACTATTTTATCCTTTGCTTCCAAGTTCCAACCAAATAAAGCATTGGAGTTGTGTTGGCACCGTAACGCATGAGTTACTGTACATATAAGATCACGAGCATATGATTTAACATATGGTGGATTCTACTAATATCTCTCAGATCAGGGTCTCTTGACAATTATCAGTTAATTAAGTGATAATAATGCTTATCTAATGGGAAACAGAGCAATACTGAATGGAGGAATGGCGAACTTTGTCAACTTGTCAGCAGAATGCTTGTATTTTTCCTCAAAATCCGAATATTTCCACATTATTAGTTTCTATTTAATTTCAAATTTAAATGGCTCCTAAAAAGAGTTACAAAATTCCTTTTTTGGTGACATGTCAACTATTTCTGCAATTTGGTTTCTGAGTTGGCTGAGGACTGAGGTATCTGCAGTGATATTGACTTGCATGTCGGCAAAAGTCTAACCGCTTATCAATTTTGCATTCCACGTCTCAGATTAATATACAGTTGGACTTGCTAAATATTTGTGCTTTTTCTGTGGAATCCGTGAAAGTCTAATGGCTTTTAAATGTTTGTTTTCGTAGTGGGATTTGCCAAAAACATGGTTTTCACAGAAGCAACAAATGTGATTTTTAGGGTTCCTACCGTTAAAACAAGCATGCCTTAAATTGTTGCAATGGAGATGGTGAAAAGTTATGCCTTGCCAACCAATTGACTGCTCAATAAGTTAAAGACATTCACTTCATGACTTGAAGCCATTCAGAAGGAGAAAAATAGAACAAAATCAAAAACCATATTTACTGCAACCCCAATTTTAACCATGTATGGACTATGTTAGTCTGGCACGGCAATTCAGCACATGCTTGATCCCCTCAATCCATATCTGTTTGTCATGTTTACTTGCACATTCAAATTCTATTATCCTGTCTGCTGTTTTTATTCCGAAATAAGCCCTCTTCTCAATGCTGTCTTCCCTTTCCCTTTCAGGCCAAGCTGGTATATCACTGCACACTCCAGTGACTATATCTGCCACATTAGGTCCATATCTTAACCATTGTTGACACGGAGTGGTAAGAAGACAACAAGTAAGCAGAAGGTGCAAAATTTGCTTACATTTCTTCTTTTTCTTGAACGTTCCTCCCATATGCTTGCTTTTCAATTTGGCTACAACCTGTTACCATTTTTCATTGATTAAAGTTGTCCAAACACAAAATTGGTTGGAATACAAAGTCGCAGCAACAAGAAACTTATCATTCTGCTCTCCGACCTACAGAGGGACTATCAAAACTTCATGTACAGCTATGTTCCTCTATCTAACATAGAGTTTTGGAATTTATGCCCCTAATTTGTTAATGAACATACAGAGTATTTTCACCAATTACCTGCATATTTGAATTCACAATGAAGGACACTCGCTTCCAGTGAAGATCCCCTGTTACAATTAATTAGCAAAGAAACTCAAATTAGAATTAGAGCCTTTTCTATAGATCTGGATTCTCTTATTTTTAATTTTATTGAGGTTGTTATAGCAAAGAAGTTAATAAACATACCTTTTCTTGTGCGTTTGAGAAGTTCTCCTCCTCTGAAGACACAGTCTAGTGCTGTTAAGATGTTCGCTTCTTTACCTTCTTCACACATTTCCTCCACTAAAGGAAATGTTGAGCTTCCAATCCCCTTTTGCAGCCTAGCTTTTAGAGTAGCAGCTCCTCGCAAGGCTGTCAACAATGATTAATTCATCACAAATTCTCTTTTATGTGTTGGCAATTTTCAAATCTCTGGCAAAAGAAATCCAAAGACTGTGAGCCTTAGCCACCTTTTTTACCATACGTTAACACTTGATTAAGTAAATTTCATTTATTTTTTCCTTACTGAGTTGCCATGTTCTGTTGGTCCACATTGATTCGGTCATTAATGCAGATTTAGCAATCTACCTGTAGCTGCTCCGGCTGTTAAAGTCATTATGTCTCCATTGGTCTTAGCATTAATTGCAGAGTTAACCGCCGTTAAGATTTGATCATGATCAGCTCCCATATCTTCTGCAATTTCAATACAGTGAGAAGCTACTAAAGCTGCCGCAGATGCTATAGCAGCAGAAGTCTTTGGAGGATCCTTTTGGTTGGTATATGGCATTTCAGGTGATGCTGTTGAAGCTGCAACTGCAGCTACTGCAGCAGCAACGCCTGCCACAGATACTGCCGCGTGCAATTGAGCATTATGTGTCCTTATTTCCTGCTTTTTCCTCTCCTTTTGATCTTTCTTCCACCTACCCATGGTCTTCCCTTTTAATAAACTCTTGTAGAGCTGCTTAGCAAAAATTTTCACCAAGAAAAAAAAAAAAACAAGAAGAAATACTGAGTAATATTGAGCTGGTATTTGAGTATAAATCATAATGGTAATCACCAGGCTGAAGAAGAGATACCCCATTTCGAATTAAGTGTTGACCGGAAAGGAACTCTGGATTGAGTGTCTGATGAAGTAAAAATAACTCCTGCATATAATGGATGGCAAGGTTATTGGTTTGCATGCAAGAAATATAACTGCCGTTAGGGTTTAAACCAGAAGGGTGCTCAGTTATGAACAAGAGTAAAGTGAAACATCTTCACTTGCATTAAACCTGATGTTGAAATATCCTAAGGTTGTGGATTAAGCAAGTTGACTTTTCTGAATTCCCATGGGAATGTTGGTAATAATCAAAAGTGTAGTTGGCTTAGTTGATGACAAAAAGTAGTTTTTAAGAAAGCACTCTAATTCAAAATAGTTAAAGTTTCTCTATGCAGTAACCTTAAAGGGACAAATCATACTGAGAACTGCATCTTCAAGGTATTGGCTGCCGAACAACAACATTGGCATGTTTAATACACACCCAGTTCCCATATATCAAGATTATCAGTCCACAGGGAGAAAGTAGCAAAGTATACCTTCATTTCCTCACTGCCTCTTGGTGAAATTGGAGGGCTACACCCATTAGTTAGCTGTAAATAAACATCACAATAACAGGACAGACAAAAAGAATTAGATGCCTGTTCATATATAAGAATATCACGATCACCAAAAGAAAAAAAAAAAAAAGAGAGAGAGAGAGAGATAGGATATAGTAACATCCTTCCTTATCACCCCCTTGTTTATACGCTTCTTAGGCTTGAGCTTGTCAGAAGTGCTTTGCTTTTCCTCTTTTTTCCCTTTGTGTGTGTGTGTGACATATGATCTATTTTGAGAAAAACTAAGATAACTTATGCGAGTTTTGCGATTGCCTGCATTGGCAGCTCAAAAAGTAGTTCTGAGTAGTCTGGTTAAAATTTTCAAAGTGGTTCATATTCTTACAGAATCTTTTGAAACGGTGGAGACCTTGGTAGCAGCAGGGCAGGAAACTGGCATCTGGACACCAGTAGAAGTCAGGATATTGGTATTGTTCAGTGCCTTGGAGAGCTCCATGGCTGAGATGCTCCATGATCTGGCCAGAAACTCCATGGATTCAGTTGGAGTGTCAGGAGGGGCACAAGACATTGCTGACCACTCAGTAGGACTATTCTCATCTATCTTCTCCAGCCCCTTGACAGAGCACTTAGAGTTGCTCGAGCTCACTGACACCAAAAACAATAACAGAAACCGAGTTAACTGCCGCGTTACACCAAACTGAGGTTTGGTCATGGAAACATTTATTTCTATTTGGTCAACACTTTTCAAAGTATATACTTCCACAGCTGCTTTAGCGCCAGAGAAAGAAAGAATACAATAGACAATAGAAGTCTGGATTAACTTCATTTTACCGAACATGCTATGAAGCAACCACTTACTTGTCTAGAGTAGTAATTGGTCCCAGGCCTCAGTCAGTCAGGAGTTGGGGGAGGAAGAGTACAAAATCTCTAGCGAAGTAAGAAAGCAAGATCAAGACGATGACAAGGAGCAACAGTGAGATATTTAACAAGGAAATGCGACACTATTTCCAAGTTTAATATTTTGAAGAAAAAATGAAAACGATGTCATAGAATCTTTTGTGGGGAAGGGAAGGACCCGGTTTAAAGGTCATTTATTCGTCTCCACCTTAAGTTGTTGCTTTTAATTTCCACTCTTATATGCTTTATACATAAAGGAGATAAAGACCTGTTTTATGGCAGCGGAGTGCATCATTACTTGCATTCGTCTTTGTCGCCATTATCACTTTCTAAAGTAAAATCCGGGGTCCCATTATTACACACTGTTTCTTTTCTTTAATTCCGCCCAACCCTCCTTGGTTCAGTGCATTAACATCATACACAAACTGGTGAGTTTAACAGTTTTAGGAGGCTCCATTTGGTTCTAGATACAAGTTCTATGGATTTCCAACAGGATGCTCAACAACTCTTTCCCGTTAATGGGCATCTGTTGCAAATTTACCATGCCATCATTGGTTTTACTGTTTCCCCGCATGAGTTACTTTTTTCCCCTCCTCTCATTAAGCATACGACAAGAACTCCTCCAACTTGTTTTGGACTACATTATTATAAATTTCATGCACGTGCACAGAAAAGTCAATATTTGTGCAGACTGGATCATAAAATTTGCTCGACAGTTTTCAATGGAGCCTCCTTAAAATTGTAGAAATTACATTGTTTGGACCGTGCCATCCCCTCCCTGGGCATTAGGCTTTTCATGTTGGATAAAAACCATAAAAGCCGTTTGGACATTGTGTTCAGTCTATCAATGGGCAACAATATTGCTCGTTTTATATAAGCTCCCTTCTTATGATCTGCTAATGTTTTGATAATTTGGATTGTCAGATAAATACTTGTCCCTTGAAGATGTTTACTGATATACTGACCCTTCCACGTCCATAGAAAAATCCAATTCCGTACATTTAAACACGAATTAAGGAAAAGCATGCAGTGAACCATGACACGAGAAAGGAACCTTATTGTTATAGTATTATTTTAGATATAAACAAATCAAGTTGATCTTTAGTAGGGAAAAAATCGTGTTCATGAGCCGAGTGCATACAAAAAACACTCGAGATATCCTTATTGAGCCAAACAACGCTTGAATCTGACTCAAGTGAGATGATGATATAAAAAATGAATTGACACCGAACGCAGAATCAAAGATCTTGACTTCCCTCACCCCTCATTGAGAAAAACATCCTTTCCCGCGTTTTCCCCCTCCCGCAGGACGCAAGCGGATAAACATCCACCGACATAGCTTGTTCTGCAAATAGATTCATCGTCGTCAATTTCCCTCTTTGGAATCTGAAATGGGGGCATCTGCCTTCTGCCATATACCCCACGCAGCATCATGTATGCTCCTAGTTACCATCCGATGTCTTTAGCATGATAATACGATGCTCAGGGAAGACGACGATCTTTAGGCATCCTGCTCGTCATAACAGTCCCATTCCTTTGGCAATGTGAGTGTCCTGACATTTGAGACACTAACAAAGCCCCCTCAAGTGACTCCTTCAAAACCCATATCTGATCAAATTAACAATCCAAGTTATTAGTAATAGTCGGAGAAGAGTTCAAAGTTACATTTTTATGTATAAGCAAATATTTATCTCTACCTATTTTTTGGCCGAAGAAATTCTGCGTAGCGAAGGAATCCAGCTGCTTGAAGTGCCAGTGTTATGCCCAAATACACGACCCGGGTTTGAGCTTCCTATTGGTTTCTCTGCTTTCGACACATTTTCTGAGATTCTGGGCCTCGCAGATGTAGATGGACCATTTTTCACAGGCTGCCACAATTTTGTCCCAATAAAAACATTGACTTTAGCCAAATAAAAGTACATCTTAGATTTCAACATATTGTACGTATGTTATCATGCAGAGAGGAAGATAACCTAGTATAAATTACAATTATCTGGTGCACACTTTTATTCCTACTCAAATTACAATGCCTTCACTGAAACTTCCTTTTAGATCAAAGTTTCATTCACATCACTTTTCTTTATCAGACATTAAATTAACTAGAATGAATTTGTATGATAGAACCTAACATGAGCCCGGTTGTTCTCATAGTGTGTAAAAAGTAGAGCTATCAACACCTTTTAATATTTTAAATTGATTGAATGGTACTAACTCCGGTCCTAAATATAAAAACTAGTTGACTAATTTAAATAGATTAAAAAAAGAAGTTAAATTAGTTATTTTTAATAAATCGGTATTGTCTTTCCTAAAATGTCCTTGTTAATCAAATATATTGGTTAGAACTAACATTATTACAAAGACTATCTTGAAAAAAATACATAAATATAAAAGACAAAGTGGATTAGGATCTTATATTTAGGACCAAAATAAAAGTCAAACAAGATCTTATATTAAAGACCGGAGGTAGTAATTTTTTTACTTTTGATTTATCACTAGAACACAGAAACGTTTATCTCGTATTATCAAAAAAAAGCCCAAGCTAGAAATTACATCAAATAGGCAGTCATACTTACAAGTTTCACAACCTGATCCTCTGCATTCAGATTCTGATCATCGTGCGATGCTCTGATTTGCATATTAACGCGTGCATTAACATTTGTTAATGGTCTTGCCTCCGCAATTTGAGCAGAGCCGTTAACACCTGAAAAGGAACCCTAACAAATCAGGATATTCTTTCTTCCTTCTTTCCTTAGAAAAAGTATTGCTTCGGCATACTGCAAATCTTCGTAGATTGTGTTTTCACTTTTCAGTCTTCAGACAGCAATGTCATGGGATTTCTTCCCTTTTCCTCTTTCTGAAAGAGTCCATCTGCAATTCCTACCTCACTCTTCTGGGCAGCACCAATCTCAACATTCAAATCAAATAACTAAGCAGATTACTGATAGTGAAGAGAGTACCTTTATTCTTATCCACAACATTTGGTTCAATACGGTTAGGCACATCAACGGCAGGCTGCAAAATATCAGATGATAAAGTGAGCGAGAATAAAGTCAGAATATATGAAAGCTATCAGAAAACCCATATGAAGTATACAATTTTAGCACGCAATCACAACAGCTACCCAAAATATGTCAAGAATGTACTTACAGTTGATTGATCCTTCATCTTTGTCTGTTGCGATTGCTGATATTTAAGAATGGTCCAGTCATATATGTAGTCAGACTCGTATCCTGTTCATTTAATCAGGGCAAATAACACTGTGTTATCAAAGAGAGAAGATCCTCAAATACACAAATGAGACAACCAGAAACATCATTTTATTATGTAAAGTATTAAAACACTGTTTAGATTACACATTCCGAGGTACTAATGAACATGAAGCATTAACAGCAGCAGGTCAACAAATTAGGATAATTTTCAAATTTGAAATTATTTTTCAAGATCCAGATGAATGACTCTATATTCTACTAGTTTTGATCCCCCCCCTCCCCCCCCTCCCCCTCCCCCTCCCCCCATTGCTTTGCACTCAATAAATCATACTTCTGTGCTCAAATATTGGAAGGAAATCTAGCATACTCGGGAAGAAAACTTACGACTCAATTTAACACATTGATATAGATTTACGTAAAGTACTCAGTTTATTTGTGACTTTTCTAAAGGCCAACTCGTAAATTGGGACAGCAAAGCAGCTTCAGTTGCTGGGTTGTGTTGCAGCCCCATAGTAAACAAGGTTGAAATCTACCCTCTGTGTGTGTGTGTGAGAGAGAGACAGAAGTTTACGATCTATATTTAATGTTCTACCCTCAGCATCTAACATATCACTGATAAAGCCATCAGCTCATGTGAAAATTTTCATATGAATAAACCATGACTTGTGAGGAAAGGTAGTTAAGAATAAAGCATCCGATCCAAATAGAGGAAAACTAGTTAAGCATAAAGCATCCGATGATCCAATAGCTAATACCTTCACGAGTAAATAAATCACGAAACAGGCGCCTCAAGAATCCATAATCTGGGCGTTGATCAAATGTCAAAGAGCGGCAATAATGGAAGTAGGAAGCAAGCTCCGCAGGATAAGACTTGCAGAGGATCTGATAACAACAAATATGAGTCAGACACTCAGCAAAGCAGTCAACTCCTAAGCATATCAAGAGTTTTTATAGAGAGAATCTTCCCAAAAGGATGCACAAAAATTTGTTTACTCCGTTAATAGCATTTCTTAAGGTGCAAGCTTTTAATATGATTGTTCAGTCAAAGATGAGTATTCGAAAATAGGTTTTAAGGTTGTAAACTTCTTCCTATTTAACCTAAACCTATCAATTTCAACTTTCCAATTCCCCCACACTTGCATCCACCATCTACATCCAAATAAAGAAAAGAAGAGAGAGACGAACCAACCTGCCCACATAAAAACAGTATGAAGTTGTTTTTTTTTTTTCCTTTTTTTTTGGGAGGGGGGGGCACGAGACATTTTCCAAATTTAATTCATAGACGTACCTCAATTGGAGTGGATAGCTTCTTCTCACAGATCCTGTCGTACTTTTGCTTTTTAGTGGCAGCTCTCAGACCCTGCCATGGAAGGCTAAAAAGGAAGAAGCAATTGGTCAGGCCAGTATAACACACACTCAAATGCACAGTTTTTCCAGCTCAAGATCGCTATTATTGTAACGCATAGAGAGAGGCATACCTTCCTCTCAAGAAGTAAAGAAGAACATAACCAAGAGACTCCAGATCATCCCGTCTACTTTGCTCTAAAGAATTAAAACCAGAATTATGAGAATTATATTGCAGAATTTACGGACCAAAAAAAGGAGAACTTTTAATACCCACCAATTCCTAAATGAGTATTGCAACTCGCATAGCGGGCAGTGCCTGTTAAATTTTTGTTCTCTCTGGATGAGTTTATCAAGGTAAAGAAACAGAGATAAGCAATGGTAATCTGGGTCATTAAACTAAGTAAAAACATATCTATAAGAAGAATTTAGAAAAATTAGTCATGAGTTAATTACTCATCCACAAATTACAAAGTAGGAAGATTCCAAAATTAAACATACCTGTAAGCAATATGCTTATTGGTTGTGGGATCCTTGTATCTTTTTGCAAGTCCAAAATCAATCATATAAACCTGGTAATTTTAGCAAATTGCAGAGAATATAAACAAGGAATAAGCAATCGACAGCTTAAAAGGAATCATTAGATAAGAAACTATTCAGACAAATTGATGCTACCTGATTTGCTTTTCTCCCTAGACCCATAAGGAAGTTATCTGGTTTGATGTCTCTATGCAAAAATCCCTTTGAATGTAAATGCTCTATCCTTGCAAGCTGCAGTCAAGTAAATAAAACAGGCTAAATTTTGCATTCATGAACCTTAGTTGAAGGATCACGCTGGTGGAAGTTTCAAGGGGGGAACAAACAAAAAGAAGGGAGCAAAGCTCAGATAAATTAATAATTACCATCTGATCAGCCAGCATCAAAACTGTTTTCAATGAAAACTTCCCTCCACAGTATACGAAAAGATCCTCAAGACTCGGTCCCAAAAGATCCATAACTAAAACGTTATTGTCTCCATCAATACCATGCCATTTCATGCTTGGAACACCACCTAAAAAGCAAAGAGTGTGTGGAATAAGAAACTGATCATTCTTGGCCAAGTTTTCAGAGCATGTAATTTTAACAGGTAGAAATGCTTCTATTTTATCTTACTTCCTCCTTGAAGGGCATTATATAACTTGGCCTCATAAAGTAGTTGCGGGTGTTTAGTCTTCCTGCTCTCCTGAAAATCAAGGAACATAAATGTTATAAATCGCACAAAGCATATGCTATGTCATGCACATGAAGAGAGATGCCCCAAAAGAAATTCGTTAAGCATAGCCTTCCATATCATAAATCATCATTTTATTACTTTTCATGCAAAAAGCTTGTGCAAACACTTATGCTCTTGTCACGTAACGGATACAATATTATGTGCATTCAAGTCAAAATGCTACAGCTTATAAGGCAAGAAACAAACCTTGAGATATCAGTCTAAGGGATGCGGATGTATTAAACACGAAAACGGTTTCAAATTCACATTATAGATGAAATGTTTACCTTCCAAGCGCAGTTCTCTTAACACTGTAGTATTAGGCGGTTATAAATAATGACTAACTACCAGAGACACGAAAGACCCTCAAGAATCCCAAACTATTGCAAGCGATTCTGAGCAAACCGGCTACATATGAAATTCAAAACCATTTTGGTACAACAGAGGTTCTTGTGAAGCCTTACTCTAAGGTTGTTTTGACTTTGGTAACAAGTAGCCTTCTTCTCAAAAAAAGGTCACGCATCATTCATGACCTTTATATTAAAAGAGGTTTTTAAAATAGGCAGCTGCTGAGATAATAACAGCTCTGAACTTCAGGATGTCTTATTGTCATCGATGTCTTTGATGTCAGTTGTAAGCACGATCTCACATCTAGAAAAGGATATCAACTTGTTGGGACGACCATGACTTATCACTTATGAGTCAGAAAGCTTTTCCCTTTTGTAAAAATCGGTCATCAAACTTCTACGCGCAGTTCTCTAGTTTCACAGAAAACCAATAACATGACACGATATGCACTAGCTCACCGACTGTTTCCTTCCCTCTCCGTCCTCTACTAACGTAGAGAACAAGTCATGACAAGACATGCAACATGCATAAACAAAAAGAGTAAAAAAGGAAGCTTTTATAAAATAATCTACAGCCGAAAGATGAATTTAGACTCACCATCTTCATCGCTACAATCTCGGATGTCTGAATATCGGCAGCTGGAAAACAACAGTTTCGTCGAAAATTATAATCAGCATATAAAGTCATAGGCCAAAAACCAAACTCTACTATGAAGATGAAAACAGAGAAAAAAAACGTACCAATATAAATTTCGCCGAAGGAGCCGCTACCTATCTTCCGACCCATCTTAAACCTCCCTCCAATGATCCTCTCCATTGTCCAACAGCCCTTCTCTCCTTTCCCGCAAATCGAGCCGATCAGGGGACTCCCAGAACGAATAACAGGCCTTTGCTATATCGGGTGATGAAAAGGAGAAACCTTTTGCAAGGAGTCAGCGACGCGCAAGCAGGCAAAAAGTAAGACTCCGCTTGGATTGTTATCGAGAATATGAGTCAGCCAAAAATGGGGTTTGGTGGAGGAGATGAGAGAGGAAAGTAGAGAAGGGTAGGCGGCGACGAGAACAGAGCCCGGGAGAAATCGGCTGAACTTGGACGTGGGGGGTCAAGGAGAGGGGAGAGAAGAAAAGGAGAGAGATAAGCAGAACTTATTTATAAAAAAAAATAGGGTTATTTTGGGAAACGGATATAAAGATTTTTTTTAAAACGGGGAAAAAGTTGGTTGATGACCTGGACATGCTGGAAAGTAGAGAACCCAACCTATTTCCATTACTGATCATTTCGCCACTATTGACCATCCGCCTTGCGGTGCATGTTATTGACCTTTTTAATCCCACCTCCCCCACATGACACACGGTTCTTAATCTCTGAAAAATGACCGAATTGTGAATAAATATTAAATAAAGTTTTCACCAATTGAATTGCTTCCTTCTTGGATATCATACCCTTCATTATTAAAATATTAAACACATGGCCCGTCTGACTCAGCACGAACCAATTTGCCTCCTCGTAGAATTTAAACAATCATAGATAGAATGAGTAAACATTGGTTTAATTCAGTTTCTAATTTGTCCATTGGATATGAGTTGTTGTGATTTTTCCTTCTTTTTTTTTTTTCTTTTGGGCCTTTTTTCCCATATGGACAGAGAATAGTCCCAACTCCCACCAACCTTTTTGTTCGGAAAAAGGGAAATGGATAAGCATCCACCTTTTCCGGATTCCGGGAAACTTGCCATTGCTGGTTAATGCGTTTAGCAGAAAAAACTTGGCATGTGTTTTTAATTCTCCCAACTATCAAGCATTGACCATTCAACTACTCTGCTTTGTTCTGGGTCAAATCCAACTCCTCTGTTTTAAATCGCAACTGTGTACACGAAAAATTAATATCAAAATCAATCTGTCGTAGCATATATAGCGAATTACCCATATAATAATAATACAACTCGTTTCAAGCATTGCATGATGCGGGAAAAAAAAACTAGTTTTAAAAAAAAATTTCTAAGTGATGTAGGATGATATCACGCACACGTCTGGCTCATTTCTTTGCCTTCCAACCTGGAAGGAGCAAGTTTTTCCCTTTGATCAATTCTTAAGACACCCAATAGATACCATCATCAGTATTATAAAGTTGGTAGTCCACCTGGTAATGGAATTACATGGAGTAGTAGCATAAAATTGCGTTGACCTCAAAGACTGAAGAGAAGCTTGACTTTAAAATACCTCATAGTTTAGTGGCATATCATCTCTTTTGGCTGTGGGTTTTACCCCGTCTACAATGCAGAGCCATCAATACTTGCCTTCTAATTCGGAAAAAATGAGACTACTAAAATTTTTCGGGGGCAACGAGTTAGCGAGGGAGCAGATCACGGAGAGGAGGTTGGTGGGACCACCATGGCTGCCAAGCCTTGTAAAATTCGATTCTCAAAATTTATGTGAATCTTGTATTATATTTAATATCTGTCCCGCTCGTTTTTAAATATCTGTCCCCCCATTAAAATCACGCAAGGGTTAGTGTTGTCGACACGAAAAAATTGAGAGGTAATTATAGCGTGGCCGCTCTTGACTTCCTGGGAAGCCTGACGCTGACAATAGACGAGTCACCTTGAAGTCTGTTCCGCCCCAAAGCACAGAGGACATATCTCACAAAGTAATGTCCAGCTTTTTTGTTCTTGACAACCCTCTTACAGGCCCAATGGACTCCCAAAGCCTATCAAGGAGGATATGGAGAGGCTCCCAAACAGGCCCTAAACGCCATTTTAATAGCATTTGTACTAGAGCGTGTTTCTCGAGCTCGCCGCAAGGGATTTTTATATTTTGTTTCATTTTTTCGATCGTCCTTAATCGGAGTTCTGTTTCAGTGGTACTGACTCAGGCCACTGGAGCTCATTCTGCCATAGCTACACTAGAGATGAGGATCAAACGCACTTCAGAGGAGAAAAATATAGAGAAAGAGCCACTTTTGAGCATCCCCAACGCCAATGCCAACAAGGGTGGCTTCAGAACTCTACCTTTCATTGTAGGCGCGTCTAGTTTCTTTTCCTATGACTTCATATCAGACCCCTTCTGCTGCCGCAAAGATTGGTTTTTGCTTGCAATTTGACCTCTCTATAATATCGTGTGGCAGCAAATGAAGCATTTGAGAGGCTGGCTAGCGTTGGGTTGATGCCTAACATGATTTTGTAGTTGACCAGAGAGACTACGGCATGAAAATCACCGAAGCCACCAATGTCCTCCTTCTCTCCTCCGCCGCCACCAATTTCTTCCCCCTCTCGGTGCTCTCCTCGCCGATTCTTACGTGGGTCGATACCCCATGATTGCCTTCGGTTCTATTGCCAGTCTACTTGTAATTTTCTTTTCATTTTTCTTCTTCTTCTTCTTCTTCTTTTTTGGTGAAATTCATTTCGCTTCTTTAAATACAAGCTAAGTATCCTCAACTAGCATCAATCAATACATAAACTTTTGAATTTCGGCCATATGGTTTAATGCCTAAATCTTAGCAGCGTCACGTGATTTTAAGTGTAACATGGGGGCTAAAGTTTAACTAAATCTCAGGCTTTTTATTATTTTAATTTTAATTTCTAGTTTCAGGTGATGACTTTGCCACAATTTTAAGAGCATACATCGATATTTATAATTTGTCAAGAAAAACATGCTTAACAAAACCCACCTCCCTTCAACGCTTTTCTCCTCTTCAGGTCTGCCTGATAGTATTGTGGAGTAAATATTGCTTTTTCCTCCATTGGCTGCAGGGAATGGTTCTTTTATGGGTAACAACCATGATTCCAAAATCAAGTTCCATACCATGTCACTGACCCGTGCAGCTCCCCCACTTCATTTGAATTACTCCTTCTACATACTTCGTTTGTCCTCATGGCCCTCGGAGCAGGTGGTATAAGATCAGCATCCTTGCCCTTTGGCATTGATCAATTAACCTACAGAGACAGAGAAGAGAGCATAAAAGATGGCTACTTCAGCTGGTACTACGGTTCTGTTGCTGTGTCTTCCCTAGTAGCTCTGTCTGTGGTTGTTTATATTCAAGATCAAATGGGGTGG